CAGGCTGGCGGTCCCCACCACGGTGGTCCCCAGCCAGCCTTTCCTGGGCAGGCTAAGAGTGCCCTCTGCAGCCCTGCCGTCCGTGCCGCCTCCGCTGCCAAGCAATTGTTTGCAATTTCAAATAAATAAATAACAAAATACAAGTAAGACAGGTTCCTAAATGCAGAAAGAGCTAAAAGCTCCAGAGCAAAGGCATCTGATTTAAAACCACAAAAAAAAAAAGCAATCTAGGAGGATGAAGTGTTTAGCAGCGCTCCGTCATGCCCTGTTTTAGCTGCTCTGAAGGGAAGGAGGGATGGCAGGGGTGGAGGGAGGATTGTGGGTCCCCCCCCAAGCCATTGGCTTTTGTTTTGAGGATAAAACCCACATCTCTGAATATCCTAGGTAAATGAAACGGATGTTCACGCATCGCTCTGAGAACGCTGTCAACAGCGCACGCGGCTAGAAGCTGTGTGTTCCTTGCAATATTAATCAGACTGCTCCTCCACCCCTCCTCTCCACAGCACCAAGGTGCTAGACAAGACAGGAGGAAAAAAACATACCAAACCCCCCCAGTCTCTGCTGGGTTTGTCTATCCTCATGATCTACATCAGCCTCCCAGCTCCTTGAACTTAACCCAGGACCCTAGAAGGCAAATAGATCCCCCTGGTTTTGTTTGCTCCAGCTTTACAAAGGTCACGTCTGTAGCCACACGGTGTTGGGTTTTAAATTTGCAGTGCCCCACGTGAAAAGAAAACTCAGCACAGTGACTTGGAAGTCCAGGTTGTTTGCCCCGTTTCAGCAGGGCCTCCGAGGGCAGCACTGAAGCAAAAGCATCCAAGCTGCACAGCATGAGCAAGAAAAACCTTTTGCTCTTCTACAGCGATTTTTACGTTGTGCCTACCATCACCCTTCCAGCAACGGGTGTCCAAGAGTCAAGTCACAGTCTGCATCGAGTTAAATCCCCAGAGCCCACCCCAAAACAGTGTTGCTACATACAGCTTTCCTCACCACCTTCCACCTTGCAAGGAAACAGCCTACGAGCCACATGGGAACCACTGTCCTTACCTGGGGTCAAGCCAGGAGAACATCACAAGCTAATAAAGAAGGCAGAATTCACCGCATATAGGGAAATGCATCATTTCCCCTGCAGCCAAGAAAAAAAATCACTGCCCCATGGCTCCTCACAAGGCAGTTTTCACCGCGTGGTCTGGGGAGGTTTCAAAGGGTTAAGTGATTCCTCAACTCAGTCCATTTGGAAAGAAACACCACAGCCCTGACATGACGAAAGCACCAGCCTTCTGCTTAGACAGACCCACACAGAAAAGCCACCTCCTAACACAGTATTCACCGTGCCCTGCAGATGTGAGCTATCACCCTTATTGTGGGAAAAACTGATGGGCAGAACTGGACACCGATTCCCCCCCAAATTCCTTCTGCAAGCCAGCAGCAGAGCAGGGACCATGGCCTGGGTCAACGAGCGAAAGATTCTCATCCTGGGAGCGGAAAAGATGTATTTAACAAAGTTTCACCTCTTTTCCGGGATGCATTACAAGGCTTAACGAGTCACTGCACAAAAGGCCGAGGATACAAAGAAAACAGAGATCAGCCAGCGCACAGAAGAATGCAGGCTGGGATCCTAAAATCCCTATTCATCGCTCAGCACCGTCCCGGGCAGGTCTCACGGCTGACAAGGTATTTCTTGCTGAACAGGGTATTACAGTCAGGATAGTCCTGCATCCCTACAGACACAGGGCTGCCAACCACAGGGCAACACCCCACTGAGGCACATGCAGCAAAACACTCGTGGAAGGCAAAGCAAGATGTAAGTGCTCCCTCCATGACGAGAAGGAGCTACACCATCACGTGGGCAAGACAGATGGAGGAGGGAGCCAGCCCCAGCTAAAACCTTTCACACCAGCTGTCTGCAGCGGCTCTCGGTGCTCCTCCCCAGCCAGGTGTGCCGAGCATCAGGAAACCTGCTGCACGCCTTTCAGGCAAGAAGGGGGAAAAAAAAAAAAAAAAGATATCCAACGCTACGTGGTTTGTTGGACATGCAGGTCGATCTCCAAGCTCGGCGGATGTCTGCTACACGGTGACAGGCCACCAGGCTCTGGCCTATGTGATCTCTGTGTCACCGGCAGAATCTCTATACTGGTATAACCTGCTGAGCCATTGGTGTTTACATCAGTAAAAGGCTCGTTTACTTCCACGAAGAAAACAAAACTCACAATATTTACAACCAGATAGCAAGATCCCCTACGAAAATCATCGCAGTTCTAGCCTGAAGCACTCCACAGACCTGACAGAAAGCACTGTCCTACCTGAACAGTTCCCTGATTTCCCTGACAGTGGCCTGGAATGGGATGTTTCGGACCAAGATCTTGGAAGTCGTCTGCTTCTTGACGATTTGTTTCTTTCGGGACGATTTCACAGCAGGCCTGTGAAGTCAACAGAAGGAGCAGGTAAGGACCGCTGCGCAGCAAAACACCCAGCGCATTCTGGCTCCTTCAAAATTGGGAATGCAGAAAAATTAGCTGGCTAGCTCACATCGACATCCTCACTGGCATCTTACTGGCGACAACCAAGAAAGAATGAATTTAAGTGATTTAAATCCTACATCCGAAAATCAAAGTTTCCAGCTTGCTGATTGCAACCTCAGTTGAGGTCAGGCATCAAGCCTGCACTCAGATTTGTCACTAACTTTTATTTTGACATCAAATCTTGTCCATTCAATTGTCAGGAGAACATACTATTTGATATACTAAAAAAAAAAAAAAGCTTAACATAACTAATTTTGATTCTTTTTCTTATTGGCCTTGAAAATAGCAAATGAATTTTTTAAATAGATCATGAATTTTTATTTTTTACTTCAGCATTGTATTGCATTTGAATAAGATAAGAATTGACCTAATACAAAACACAGCAGCTTATTTCATAAAGCAAAGCATTCCGTGCTGTAGGTTGGATACCTACGGAAGGGATTTCAAAAATCAAAATGTATTTCAATTCTTTAACAAACCAAGTGCAGACACGGAGCTGTCAGAATCCCCAGACTCTCCTGGTCCCCAGGGACCAGATTTTTAAACAAATTTTGACATTTCAGAGATAACCTCCTTCCAGTAGGGTTTCCAAAGTGTCTAAAGGACAGTTTTTAGGTGCCAACATTCATCTCCAAACATCTGGATTAAGATTCTGCGCCAAATAAAAACTAGGAAGGAAACCCTAAAAAAGCAAGACTCGAACTCCAAGTAAACTCATCCACAAGTTATTACCTCCTCTGCACCTGACAGCCCCCAAAAAAAGAAGTTAAATCCAAATTTCTTTTCAAGCAAGAAAAAAACCACCCTGTATTTGTCTTGATTTGATCAGAATTGGCAGCAGAACATTATTTTCAAGCCGCTGTTCTTCCTGATGAACTAGGGTAAAAGATTTCATTACCCAGAGAATATTTGTCTTCAAGAACTCTTTAAACCCACTGGAACTCAGGCTATCAGTTTAGACAGACTGATTTTGCAATGCTGACCACCTGTCACCAAAGCAGAGGTTTTAGAGGAGCCTTTTCCTTGAGTGTGGAAGAAGACTCAAGTGCCTGGTTCACACTTTGGGCTCATTTTTGGGCTCCCACCACACTGCATGCTGCTTAGGGATTTTAACTGGAAAGGTGAGACATAGCTTTACCTGACAGCTCTCTCCGAGATTTTCACTTCCAGCTTATGGCCATCTACAGAAAAGCCCTAGAAGTTAAAATAAAGGAACAACAACAACAAAAAAATCAAAAAGTTACAACGGCTTCCAAGCTTCCGGGACGTAAACACAGCATTTCACATCTTGCTCTTTCCCATATATTCCTCCCCTTCTCCCTGCCAAAGTTTTTCTCTGTTGACCACTGCTCATGCGAGGCAAGGCTTCCGATACGAGGTTGGAGACAGCTTGACTGACTGAAGCAGCAGCCAATATCCCTGATCTAGTTGCCCATCAACCTCAGCTCTGCCACTAAACTGGCAAAGACGCGTCACTTCACTGCCCTGGGCTATGGTTTCCTCTCCCTCCAGATTGCGAACTCTTCAAGGCAGTGACCATCTTACTATTTATTCTGGAATGAGCCAAGGATGTCTCGTTGGCCATCAGTAGCCAAGAAAGTTTTCTGTCTCTCACTTCCTGCGCCTCAAAGAGCCTCCCACAGTTCAGCACTGAAAACAAGCAGCCTCTTGCCTTTCCGGCCCTGACCGGGTACACAATATGTGAAGGTACTATGGGAGCCCTGCTACCTGCTCTCTCCACTAAATACCCGTTTTCCTGATTTCTCTCTTCCCCAGGATTCTGCCTTTCAAAAGGATGGAGAACACACATCTGCTCAAAGACTACCTAGGCTGCGGAATGTGAAATAACCGCCAGTTGAAGGTGGGACTTGTGGATTGCGGTCACCGAGCATGCACAGACTACACAAAGTAATTCCTTCACATCTGCCTAGAAAGCGATGACGCCAGTTGTCTGGCCTGCACCACCCCGGCAGCGCGGACCAAACTCTTGACTGTTGTTCTGGCAGCAGAGGGAATGATTTATTCCTTTGGAGTGCAGCAAAACCCTGTGGCACGTGCCAAGGGGAAAGCAGGAGGCTACAAGACCCTGAAGCAATGGCAGAGTCACAGAGGGTAAAGACGAACTCTGCAGCACTAAATACTAAGCAATATTTATTCTCATTATGAGGAGGGACCTGGGTGTCCATCACCTCTGGAAAGGGAACCTCGGAGAATAAAGCCATTAAGTTTCAATCACTGCACATTTTCTTGCCACCTCCGTATCGGATCAGGGCTAAGAAACACTCTTCTGCATGAGGTCTCGTCCCTTCGCACACCCTCTTTCCTGACAAACCTGGCCCATTTTAGAGGCTTCTCCATCTGCACAGAGTAACTCACAGCACTGACATCCTCGGCTACGGTTTGAGCCTCACAGTTCATCCAAGCCTTTGCCCACCACCTCTGGAAGAAATCTGGACCGACAATGTCTAACTTACCTGCAGCCTCCGCAGGGCTTTCTGCGCGCTCTCCGGCTTCTTGTACTCCACAAATCCAAAGCCCATTGAAAGCAAAGTGCCTGTCAGAAGAAAAAGGGGACTCATTTAAGCTAGCAGAAAACAGCGATGATATTACACAGAAGACTTAAAAACCAATCAGAAGCAAGCGCTGATTGCCAAAATTGGGGGGGGACAAAAACCAATACCCCAGGCAAAGGGGGAGCCTGCCCTCGCCCTGACTCTGACACTCCTCATGAGCACCCCGCACTGACTTGTTTTGAGCAAGCCGTCGCTCTGGAACAGCTTGGTTTGGTGCTGATGTCAAAGAGGAGATAATCAACACTGCATGCAAAACAGATTTTTTTTTTGCTTTACATAATTTCAGTGCAATCTCCTTAAATAAAACACTAAGTCCTACAAAACAACTGCTGGTCACAGTCAGGGTAAGCGATCTCATCATGGATACACAAACATTTGTTTACACACAGGAGTGAAATGAGACCTTCTTTTGGAAAATTTGCCAACTACCCAGAAACGGGTGTGACTTTTGTTGCAGCACAGCAACAAGCAGGTTGCAGTTCGGTCCCCGGAGGAGACACTTCTAACCTGCAAGCCCTTCAGAAATTCATTTTGGCCCATGCTTGACAAGCAGTCAGTTACTGACCGCTGCTGGGAGCCGAGCGTTTGAGATCTCCACGTGCTGTATTCCTCACGACCACCAAGTGCAAGCCCTGCGTTTCATTTGAGACACAAAACACCCTGGAGGTCTGCAAGGCAGAAAAGGAGCAACCACTTCTATAAACCTGGGTGGGCAGCTGCTGGTTCCACGCCAAAGGAAGAGACATCTATTCCACACCGTACAACAGCCATAATTAAGGCCGGGTGAGGAAAGGAAAAATCCACCACCAAAACCATAATGCCCAGTTTCCAACTTCAAAACCTCAATGGCAGCAGGCTACAGAGACATCGCACAGCGACAGAAGGGGATCACTATGGTAGGTGGTATGAGATCAGCCTAGGCTCAAACGGTGCTGTCTGGTCATGAGCACGCCTGCAGCCAGACACCTGAGCAGTCCCGAAGAGTTCGCTTTATTTCTTTTTCTTTCAGTGGATCTGAGTTTTTGAGCTTCTGTGGTGGGTTGACCCTGGCTCTGGTGGGCTGGGGGCCAGGTGCCCACCAGAGCCACTCTACCCCTCCCCTCATTCAGTAGACAGGGGAGAAAAAGTATAACGAAAAGCTTATGGGTCGAGATAAGGACAGGGAGAGAAGCCCTGTAAGGCAAAATCCTGTAAAGGACTGCAACTCCCTAGCCTAAAATCCAGAAAGACCCAGCTCATTTAGCTAGCATTTGCCTTAGGCAAACTCTTCCCTGTCCAACCCCCCAGAAAGCGAGCGCAGTCGCTGCAACAGGGATAACCACTCGTCACCGCAGCCTGCTGGGTTCGAATCTGGCAGGCAGAAGGCAAACGAAGCCCACAGAGCACAGTATTCAGCCCCGCATCCTTGAAGATCCCGGATAAAGCGTGTCGTGAACAGGTTTAATCATCGCAGGGCACTGGTTCCTTTCAACTTGCATCCTGCTCTCTTCTGCAATCCTGAAGGAGTTGGCTTCTCTATCCTAAGCTCAAGAGAAGGCCACATCTCCACAAATCCCACAATTGAGCTTAACCTTCTAGACTGAACTCAGGGGTATTTTTGGTTGCTGCTTTCAGCCATTTCAACAGGCACACTTCTAGAAATAATAAGGATTTCACCAACGAGAACACAAATGCTCAGCCAGATGAATGCTAAAGCAATGCCACACCTGAGCCCTCAGCAACCAGCCGAGGGAAGGAATTGAACAGCAACATCTAGAGTACCTGCTTTGTCTTTCTTCTTGGATATTGTGCAGCTCTTCACAGCTCCCACTTTGGAGAACGTCTGCAAGGAATTTGGACACGTGATTCAGTTCCCTTTGTCACAGGCTTACAACTCAACTCGAGTGACAACATGGCCCTCTTCCAGAGCCAGGAGCGCACGCTGGCAAGCCCACCTCCCCCCAACGCACACCTGACAAGCAGTCGGTGCAGCTGTGTCTTATAAAATTATTTCTGTACAAATATACACCACCATCCCCCCCAGAGACTCTTAAAGAAATCAATACACGCGTTCCCAGAAATCCTCCACCACCGCGGATTACTATAGTAGTGGGGGCTGGAGGGTAGCAGGGGGTGCCCTACAGTGACAAGCCATCTATTCAACTCCTTCATACAACTGCTGCCAGAAGGCAGAAAGAGGCGACAAGCCCCAGTCCTCCTCTGAACAGTTATATTTGTCCCCAGATCCAACTAGACCAGGGTGTCTGCTAGTACCACAGTCCCAAGGTGGAGGAGCACAGATCCAGGGTGGACTGACATTGCGCCAACATTTTTGGGCCACGAAATGTGGCTTTTCACATGGCTACAAGAAGTGGAACTCCCAGTTGCTTCTCCCTATTTTGCTATTAATATCCCACATGGCTTTAGAAATGCTATGCTCTCTCCCAGGTGTTTTGCTGAGGTAAAGCACAGACAGCTCACTGTTGGTAGAAGCTTAGAGGAAAAGCACATGTCAGTGAAACCATCATTTATTTCTTCATTGCTGTAACACACAAAGCAGTATCACAGCTGCGCAAGTGCTTGTCCCAAGCAGAAGCATTACAGAAAGCACGGGAAATCTTATAAGATTTCCTACTGCCTCCACCTGTCCCGAGGTGGAATTAAACCCCATCAAAACTGTTTCAGATACGTTTGTCTTAACTGATGCCTGAAACCCCAAAGCAGAGTTTCCCAGTCCCGGTACAATCCCATCTCCTGTTAGGTCATACTGGCTGCAATTTACCTCCTTTAAGCACTTTATCCTCAGCCCAACAGAGGTGGAGAACATCCTGCCCTTCGCCTTCTGCAGCAGAGTAGAGCCCTTTCTTCTAGCCCATGCTGGGAGTGGGAGTTTCACTCCACCTGACATCTCAGTTTGGCCCTCAGCCACACACCCAACCCCCTCCCGCTCCATTCGAGCGAATCCCAGTCCCCCCTCCGCACTTATGGCTCACCTCCTTCAGTGTCTCTTCTGTGGTGGCAAAGTTCAGGTTTTTGATGAACAAGGTACATCCAGGAATGCTTTCTTCTTCCTCCTCCTCTTCTTCTTCCTCCTCCTCTTCTTCCTGTGCTGCTGTTTCCTCTGAGCCCTTTACAGCTGTGTCAGTGTCCTCATCTGAAACAAAAATAAGCCCAACTTTGCAACATATAACAAAGCCAAATTTTGGAGGAGTGTGTCCACTACTCCAGCTAATAGTTACTACTCCAGCAGGAGCAGGCCAAATCTCTGTTGGCTTTTTGTGGGTGGACGTAGACTGAAGAAAGCTCAACACTCAGTATATGAGCACGTCCTCACGAAAATTAAAATATCACCTATTCTTTGAGTGTAGAAACTCCACAAACCTGCTTCCCCAGCACTCAGGCACCCTCACATCAAACCTAGCCAG